GAGGGATACTCTCGAAGCCTAGACACACTGGGGAGGGTCTAGGTCCTGCTCCAAATGATATGATAGATTTTGAAGATCCCCAAGGAAGGCCTCATCCTCCCTGAGTAGCAGAAAGGAGTTGGGATAGGGGGGTTGGTAGGGGACAGGGGAGGAGGGGAGGGAGAAGGAACTGAGATTGACATGTAAAAGAAGCTTGTTTCTAATTTAAATAAAAACAAGAATGAAAAAATTCTGTGCAATTATGAACAAATAAAATGGCAAACTGATATATTAGTTAATCATATATGTGATTGAATAACCTTCATAAAACACACAACATAACACACACACACACACACACACACACACACACACACACACACACACACACACCTAAATCCACTTCACTGGGGATTACATTATCTGATGACAAATTACATAGCTTTTCCATTTCCAAACCTACTTAAAATTGGGACATGGAAAATTATATTTAAAACCACTCATTGGGAGTGAATGTGATCAGTGTGCATGCATGTATGGAATAATGAAATTCTAATTTTTTCACTGTTTTAAGTTTCTTTTTATTAAATGTGCCCACCCAGAGTTGAACTAGCCTGGCGCTAGACTGTCTCAGGCACTTTCAACCCTCTTCCCTATCCAGTTAAAAGTTTTACTGATCTCATAATAAGCTTGCCTAAAAATCTGCCAGAAAACTGACATTTATTAAGGCTCCCGTATGATAATAGCTATTCAGTGAGAATAAGACTCCCAGCAAAACAGGAGGAAGAGACAGACAGGAGGAGGAGACAGATACATGCCTGTCCTAAAAACTCACCATTCACACAGGAACACATGTGTACACTCACACTCACACACGTGCACAAAGCTCTTGCTCCCCGTAACAACATAAATATAACAAACACAGGAAAACTGGGAATTTAAAACCTAAGAAGCTGTCTGAAAGTGGAGGGACCAGACGTACTCTGGGTTTAATTAAGAGCACTTGCAGAAATAATAAAATGAGGACCAGCAACATGTGCTTAGATGAAGTCATTCCAAGTTTGACTAAATAATTTTCATTTGTTTGTTTTTGTATTTTGAGACAGGGTTTCTCTGTGTAGATCTGGCTGTCCTAGAACTCAGTTTGTAGACCAGGCTGGCCTGGAACTCACAGAGATCCACCTGCCTCTGCCTCCTAAGTGCTGGGATCAAAAGTTTGCTCTACCACACCTGGCTTTGATTAAATAATTTTTATTTCATGAGACTTTTTGTTTTTGTTTTTGAGGCAGTGCCTTATATGTCCCAGATTGGCCTTGAACTCCCTCAGTAACTAATGATGACCTTGAATTTGTGACTCTCCTACCCAGTGCTGGACTCACTGCCAAGGGTCACTATGCTGGTTATACGGTACTGGGACTGAGCCCAGGGATTTGTGTATGCTTAGACAAGCACCCTACCAGATGAGCTATATAGCTCTAGCACTCACCAGAATTAGGTAGTGCTTCCCAGTACTTTATTACAGTTGTCATCTAAATGAAACCTTTAGAAAGTTGTCTTGGGAAGCGGTACTGAGACCCTACAGTGACTAAAGGGCAAGAAAGACTCCCTCATAATGAGCAAATCAGAGATGGGAGATAGACTATGGTTTAGCCTCAGCATCTCAAAGCAAGATGGTATGGCAGAGAAGTTGGTGTCTGATATGTGTGTGGGGGTGTGGGGGGTGTCAAACCACACTTCTCTACCTTCTAAATTTCCATTCCTCTATTAGTGGATACTGGAGTGCTGTCCCATAGAGATGGCCCTGCTTTCAAACATGAAATCATGTAAATCGTGAAGAAAAATGATGCTGTGGGTATAAGTGAGACATGCTACCTCTGTTTCCAATTAGTGACGTGAACAAGAAAAGCTGAGCTGTCCACACTCCCAGGTGACACGCTTGTATGAGCAGTGTTTTGCTTCATGCGTGGCACACACTGGGTGCTCTGTAAGTGGGTTTTGAATGAAGGAGGCTAATATGCTCTTTTTCAGTAAAATCCATCCTACATGCACACAGAACTTTAACAACACCTCAGAGAGTAGGAGTGATGGGCCAGGATATGCCCTTCACATCAACTGAGTGAACACACGGGTGCCAGCTGTTCAGTGGGTGCCCTAGTCAGCCCCTCCTGAGCAAGAACACACCTCCATGTCTGGTTGGATTCTATCCATTTAAAGAAGTTATTCTCCAGTGGCTACACAAATAAACAAGTGACAATTTAAAATTTCAGCAGGAAACCCCAAACATTTATGCCTGTTTTTGTCATGGTTGTGTAACATTTGGCACAGAAGGAGATATCTACGAAGTCAGAAAATGTCATTATTGGTGAATTTTACCCAGGGTTGAGAAGTAGATCTGGGAGAGGGTTGTGAAACAGACTGGTCATTTAGGCAAAGCCTAGGCAGCAGAAGCAACTGTCAGATCAAAGCTTGTTTAAATGAGGTGCCTGCAGGCTCAACTCCAAGTCCTTTGGAGCACTGGAAGGTGATGTTCTGGCAGAAACAGAGGGCAGCTTGGGCTAGAAGAGGCACAGGTGGAAGCTATAACGTCATTGAAAGCATCTCATCTCTTAGAGGTTCTCCCCTCATTTCATGGAACATAGGCTTCTTAGAACAATTCTTGCTAAGGGGTATCGAAAAGCAGGCTTTGAGTCCTTGAGTACATCTGTACTGTCACCATGCAAGCTCTCCATGCACCATCATGCAGGCTTGTCTGACTGTTACATTCACCTTTAAGATCATTGCCCAACAATACATGATGTTACTGAGTGATTTGAAGACCTCTCTCTCTCTCTCTCTCTCTCTCTCTCTCTCTCTCTCTCTCTGTCTTCTCTTCTCTCTTCTCCACCACCCTCTCTCTCATAAATAGAAAATCCATTTTCTAAGTAGTCAGTTGTTTCCCCAGTGAGGAAAAAGGAAAAATCATGCTCACTTCTCTAGGATTCCCAAGAAAAAGCTTTCTTCCAACCAGGGTGACTGGGCCCTTTTTACTTGATGCAGAGTGTGTCCTGTCAAGGAGGACATGGAGGTGACTCGTGGGGAAGGGCAGTTCAGTGACTCAAGCACTACCTCTTGGGACAGGGGGAATCTCCATCCTCCACTCTTGCTGGTGGGTGACACAGACTGTGGACAGTCACTCGTCAGGCTTCTGCACAGCCTGGCAAGATGCTCATGGGGGCCCTTCACTCTGTTGCCGCACTCGCTAAAATCACAATTTGCCTGGTAACTCCTGGAGATGAGCAGGGCAGGCCAAGATCAAAGTTTTCTGAAAGTTTCCATTTTTCTACATAATTTCAACCTTCCCTTTGAAACAAAACTACTAACTTCAAAGTTCTCCTTGGCCTGCCTTGACTGTTTCCTGGGACAGAGGACCATGTGTGGCATTTGTATTAGTATTATAATCTCCCCCCCTCTATCTTCCCCATAGCATCTGGCCGATCTTTCAGTTCTTGTCTGGTGATAATGAAAATCATTAAAAACCCACACCAGAACGCTTTTTGCTTATCTCTGTACCATTTGGAGCATCTGCGAATAAACTGAACACCACTCACTCATTGGTGCCTTCCCTTTCCTCTCTCTTTTGAAAAGCCCCATTTGAAGTCAGTCACTGAATTCAAGAGTACCAGAGTGAAGCCAGGAGGCTGGGAACTCAGCACCAAAGTCCCACACTCAGTCTCCACCTAAACAACAAGAAGCCACAACCTACGTGGCACGTTTTTTTTGTTGCTTCAACAAACCTAAAGGCTAGGACTTTTCTTTGGGCTCCAAGCTGCATTTCCGGAAAGCAGAGCCACCCCAGTTTAAGCATCTATCTCACAGGCCCTTCACGGATGAGTGTGGAAAGGAGGCTGTGCTGTGGGAACCAGCAGCTGAAATGTCATAGGAGTGTTCAACGCAGATCAAAGGCCACCTTGCCCTTCCTTTGGAAGCCACGTTACATTACCAGCCTTTTCCAGCCACAACACGGGCCTGTGTTCAGCATAAAGGAGGAGGAGAAGCAGAGGTAGCTCTTCCCAGGAACGGTTCCCTGGAGGAAGGGGAAAGATTTTTCCAGAAGGGGGTTTGCTCCAAAGCATGAAAGTTCAGCCTTTAGCCTATTATTCAAAAAAGTTTTTTAAGGCTTTTATAAGGAAACAATTTAAACCCAGCTGCACTTATTGATCAGCAGTTTGATTTTGCTTTGTTAGGAGGGATTTGTAATCTGCTTTTAAAATGCTGTTTTGTTCCTGGCCTTCCTTGATAGCAAGTTCTGCCTGAGGCAGCTTCTTAAAAAAAGAAAAAAGAAAGAAAGAAAGAAAGAAAGAAAGAAAGAAAGAAAAAAGAAAAGAAAGAAAAAAAACTTGTCACTGGGGGTTTTGAGTCTATATGAATAACTAGAATATAACTTTAACACAAGCCACTTCTATACATAGAAGGAAGCATTAGGGTTTATACAAATTTTTCATCAAATTCTGCCAAACTTGAAATCTATGAAAAGGAATCATTTGTCTTCAAGAGGGGAAAAAAAAAAGAATGATGCATCCATGTGTGTGTATGCATGCATGTGTGTGTGTGTGCATGCATGTGTGCGTAAACAAGCAAATTCTATTTACAAAATCAGGGCTTACTTAGATCTCAACTTCCCAGGGCCTTCTGTGAGTCTCCAAGTGTACTGCTTCTCAGGCCGAATCTCCTCTGGAGTCTGCAACTACAAAGTAAAAGTCCCGAGATTGTGAGCTCCACAATGCTTCTAACAGGACAGTCTTTTTATTGGTAGCCGTTACGGGTCTGAACCCTGCCTTTCCTGGCCTTGGGAACTGTTAATCTTATATCTTCACCATGGCAAGAAGTAAAGAATGAAAACTGTGCTCAGAACTGAACTAACAAATCTTGCTGATGCTCCTTGAGCTCAAATCCAAGGTGCTCAGGAGATAACAGTTGATTTCCTTAATGAAAAGCACACATGTTATTTTTTTTTCTAATAGAAGGGTATGCCTACACATGTATGATCTTTATGAGTTTATTTAGCCAGAAACCAAATATGTGAGGGGAATCCCGCTTTCTAGGCGGGTGCTTTAATTGTCGGTCATGCGTGTTCCACAGATTGTTACTGAATGTTTACAAGGTCTTGCGAGGAATGACTTTCCACCCTAGAAGAGGGTAACATATCTCCATTGTTTATAAAAATGACAGCTCCTAATGGACCATATTAGCTTTAACACAAACTATTAAATCCCCTTCATTAAGGCTCTCTGTGTTCTGCCCCAGCATTCCCCAAGCCCGGGGAAGTTAGGTGCAAAGTCTTAACGCAAGCCGGGCACACACTGAGGCGATTAGAGATCACGCTTATTAGATAAGACTCGGGAGGATGTTTTTCTTGGGCTGCTCACAAACGTTTTGAAAGAGTCGTGTTCCAGGTTTGAGGTCCGATGTTTCTTCCTCCCAAACTATGAGCAGCTGTAGCACACGACCTACTTCTGTAGGGCCCTGTAATGATTTCCTTCCTTTGGAGGCATCAGGAGCCCTCCTCCTGCCCTGTGAAAAAAAAAGGGGGACAAATATTTTAATCCAAGCAAAATGCTGAAGCAGGTTTTGTTGGTTTCAGGGAAGAAACTCAATACAGCTCCAGCGTAGAGTGTAGGCCTCAAATTGGAACCATCTGGACTGCAGAAGGGCTCGGAGACCTTAGGGGAAGGCAGAGGCAGCCCTGCCTAGGGCTGTAGCTCAGACACCTGCAGAATCCACCAGTCTCTTGGCAAGTGGCTGGACTCACCCAGGACCTTGGTAGGGAAGCCTGAATTCATCTGCAGCTGGGAACATCATGCTAGGAAGCATGACTACAACCCAGCCAGGGACTGAGCTTCCCATGGAAAGGAAGGCCTTGTTAGACTTCCAGGACACAGTTGACTCCATCAGACAGAAACACATTTCCCAATTTCATTGCTCCCTAGCAGTCAGTCAAGAAAGTCCTCAAGAAAGCATACGTTGGTGTATGTGTTGTCTTCTGATTACCCTTAAAGCCCAGGGGAGGGAAATGCATTTTAAAAGCAATGCATGAGTTGATTGGTATCCTCCGTGACATTAAAATTATTTTTGTGTGTGAAGAGGGTTGTCGTTCTTGTTGTCCAGCTATGTTCCCAGCTGAGTGAAGCTGCTATTTATCTTTCCAAGGGTGCTGTGGCAAGCCATAAGCCCCTCTCCTGGAAGGACATCTCAAGTAAAATGTTCCTAAATGAACACTCTCATTATCCAACAATTGATGGTGGGACACTTTCTTTAAAAAAAAAAATGTACCAAGATTCTAAGTTACCAGTGCTATGCTATGGAAAAGCTATGGAAAAAAACACACTGTTATGATGTGTATAAGGACCATAAATATTCTTTTCAGTATTGCATTGGAATCTTTAATGGGTGAGGAATAGAAGCAGGAGCCATTTTTAAATAAGACAGACAAGGGCCTTTGCTCAAACAAGGAACTGGGATCTAATTCTCTAATTTGTAAAGCCAGTTCTGAATACATTTCTTTGACAAGGAAATGAGACGGAGAACAGACTGGAAACTGGTGCATGTGCCCCTTTAACACAGGAAGCTTCCAAATGTTGGTTGGTGAGGAAGATATTGTTTTCAATTATTTACTATGGTAAGGAAAGCACAATGAGACGAGTGTGGCCAGCACAGAACCCAAATATCAAGAACAACTGGACACTCAAGGATAGGGGCCCACAGCCACAGCCATAGCCCTGAGGCAGAGGCTGGTACATAGAATAAAGCGTCATCAGAGGACAATTTTTTTTTTTTTGGACTGTTCGTTCCTTCACCATTCGTTCTTTATTCCAAACTTTCTTCACCTTCTCCTTAGACAAAGCATCCCAGGAGGATATTGATTTTAACTTGAGGATGAACAACACATTTAGTAGTGCAATAGTGATATAGTAACTAGTGGATACAGTGAAGGTAGCTACAGTCCCTGGCTGTGGAACTATGCAATCCAGCTGGGGAGTAATTCAGAGCCAATGCTGACAGACACAGAATCTTTCATATTCTCTGTTTTGCTTCCACTGAAAGGGCAATTTCTCAATATTTGTTATCAGAGTGAATACCTTAAGAATTTCTTTCTTGGATCAGAGGACAATTTAAGAGGTAATGGAAACACCTAGTTTAAAGGCTTAAAGATGTACATTTTCCTGGTTTCAGTGCTAGGGGATTGACCCCCAAAACCCCTTTCATGTTAGGCAAGTGCTCTACCATGGATACCTAGACTTAGCTCTTAGCTAATAATTCAAAAGAAGCCATTAGGCCTCATGTTTTTGTCCATGGTAAGTACATTTAATGGATTATTATAATGAGATGTATTAACTGTTGAAAATTACACAGTCAAGATGTAGATAATACATACAAGGTACAAAATTACATATTTTTTAGAAGAAAGAATTGTCAGCAAGAATACTTTTTTTTTTTTTAATTCCAGGAGGGAAAAGAAGCACTGAAAAGGAAGGTTTGGCTAGCCAGGCTCATAGAGCACCTCACATGTTTTAAAGCATTCTAAGGCGTGTATGGAGTAGCTTCTCAAGGCATGTGCTGAGGCATGGATGTGCTGTTTCATACAGAGAGGCTTTTACATGCAGACTTCATCACCAATCTGCTGAGAGGGGTGTGTATTCTCTCTCTCTCTCTCTCTCTCTCTCTCTCTCTCTCTCTCTTTCTCGTTCCAAATTTATAAGCATGAATCTAAAAGCTAAAGCAAATCTTTGCTCTCTTTCCTCTTGAGGCTGTTTCACACCCTGGCCCACGCACCCAGCTGCACCCAGATAGCTCCCCCTCCCTTCCTCTACACCCAACATTTTCCACCACAGTGCATCTACAGGGTGAGACCCAATGGACCTCAGCTTGTCTTTTGAAGCATCCCTGGCATCGAGAGGCCAGGGGAAAGCCAAATGGCAAGTCAACCTGGGATGGCATCAGAAAGCTTGTCCCTGACACCAGAGGCTCATCACCTTGAAAACAGGTTTGGGTTCCGTGGGAAACGCCAGCACGGTTTCATTCACACAGCTCTGTCAGTTCCCATACTTACCACGTCTGGGATGAACCAGTCCACCAGCTCCAATGGAATGTGAATTTCTGATAAGTGTAAATGCCTACACTCAGGGAATCAAGAAATACTGCGGCATGTCTTCAGTTTGAAAGACCAGATTTGCTCTAGTCCACTTAACCAACACCCTCCCCAAAAAGGAGTGATTGTAACACTCACAAAGCAATAAAGTCAACCTTCCAATCGCTCTCTCTCTCTATATATATTTTTTTTTTGAAAAACAAAGCACTGTTCTCAATAAGGGATAATAGAGAATATATATATATGTATATATATATATATATGTATATAAGTATATTATATATTATACACACACATATATGAGAAAAGCCCACCCTGTTCTCAGTGAAAACAAACAATTGCGAGTGGATAATTTCAGATTGATTTACAACTGCAACAGTATTTCTGATTTATTTAAAAAGGAAAAAAAAAAGAAAAAAAAAAACCATTTTGGCCAAAATGGTCAGGAGGTGATGGAGACTGGCTTCCCAGCCCTTCCCTTGCCCACCCTTCACTGCCTCAAAACTTACAGAAATGCCTGATTAAAAAACTAGAATAAAAATCTCCAGTTGCCTTCAGCAAACCACAGCCCAGGATAGCGGAGTGGTGCCAGCTTGCAGTGTAAGTACAGTTACTTGGCGCCTGCTAAAAGTACTGCCCCCTTCCTGTTTAATAATGAATTCAACTTTAAAGCCCCAAGGAGCTGGACTGGGCCCCCGATTCACAAAGCAGTACAGAAACAAAACGCTTCCAGAACTGGAGGGGGAATAGAGGAAGGAAGAATCTAACATTTCAAGAAACATCACCGCATGGGGCCACCAAGCTGGGGAGGGGGGATGCTGGGGGCCTTGGAGGTGGAAAGAACTGGGGTGGAGAAATATTTTGAAAAACACACCAAAGTGAGGTTATTCACGGCCACTGGCACCAGGAGTAGGAGTGGTACAGTGAGCTGGAAGCCATCCATTCGGGAAGCAGGCCTGGTAGCCTCAGGCTCATGGGGACCCAAAGGCTAATGGGTTCAGTCTCCAGCAAAGGAGAGTTCCAGCTCACTCCTCATTAGTGGCCTCTGCTCATTAGTCAGGGCATCGTGCTGGAAGAGGCATCAAAGGTAGGTAGCAGCCTTTCCCTGGTCTCATCTTCCGCCCTACACCTGCCCTTACATCCACAATTCTCCCTCCAGGGCCATAGCCAGAGCAGTCTTGGGGCAAAGCAGGAATACACACACACACACACACACACACACACACACACACACACACACACACACACCGACACACACACACACACACACAGAGTGTACACACAAACAAAGACAGGCTTGCTGAATGTAACTGCACTGTGCATTACAGAGAAAAGCAGGCAAGTTCCTGGAAGTAACTATCCAGCAACAGAAGTTAGTGTCAACATAGAGCAGGTAACTGCACTAAGGAGCCAGGCGGCCAGTGGGGCCCTTGCATTCTACTTTGTGATTCTCATAAATCCTTTACTTTACTCAGCAGAGAAAGTAACATACTGTGGACACCAGAACCGGGTAGAGAAGCTTATCAAATCTCATACCACATACAAGACACAAGAAAAAATACTTCCAGAAGAGCCCCACGAAGACCTACCTCCAAACACACAATCCAGCCCCACAGACCTCCTTCCTGTCTTATACCAGGAAATCTAAGTATCACCAGGCATTGCCCAGAGATGGTTGGCAGGAACAAACTAATTAAATGAAATGGAGGCCTGGGTGACCAACGAACAGAGGAAAGCTATTTAAACACCAAATTGTATTTACTTTCTGCCTGTTATTCTTATAAAGAAGATAAGCCATGGAAAGCTCACATGCATCCTTTGAGATCAGAGCTGGGTATTTTGAAGAAGGACTTTCGCATAACGAAACAGTTGTGAGCAATCAGGAATGAGCTAGGTTGCTTTGCCTAAACCATTAAAAAGAATGCTTTGGGGATACTCTGCAATTGTCAAAACTATGTGAATTTTCTTCATGTTTTGCTTTATATATTGACTGGTGGTAAAATAGTCACAGGTTGTACGTCCTCCTTACCCATTCCCCACCTTACGTCAGACTGTTGTTGGTTCCTTGGAAATGCAGCCACTATCTTTTTTAAAAAATAATATTTATTTTGGATTCCTCCAAAATGTCCCTTTAAAACTGTCAAACTGAAGTTTAAAATCTGTTTTCAGTATTACACAATTTCTCTATTTTTGAATCTGTGGCTGTGTGGCTGCTACTTTTGTCTTACCACCTCCTCCTCCTCCTCCTCCTTCTCCTCCTCTTCCTCCTCCTCCTCCTTTTTTCTCTTCCTCTTCCTCTTCCTCCTCCTACTCCTCCTTCTTCCTCTTCTTTTCACAGTGGGTTTGGTCACTGAACAGCTTGACCTCACAGAAGTTACCCAGTTTCCAAAGACCTTCTTTGGAAGTTACACAGCTTCTCACCTGT